TCATTTAACGTTTTTTTCATTTAATTTTTAAAACACTACTATAGTTCACTTTTTGGAGGTAGTTTTTTTTTTAAATTTATTTTATTATTAGTTTCAAGTATACAGTACAATGGTTAGACATTCGTATAGTTTATAAAATGATCCTCCTAATTGCTCTTTCTCTCTTCTGGCTCTCCACCTAGCCCTTACATTACTGCTGTGTTCTCTATGCCATACTCCCTATCGCTATGACTGTCTATCAACTACTAATTTGTACTTCTTTAATATTGACACATGTGACAAATGATTTGTATCTAGAGTAAAGAACTCTCCAAACTCAGAAGCTGAACAAACACACAAAAACAATCCAATTAGAAAATGACATGAATAGGCATTTTACTAAATAGGATATACAGATCACAGACAAGCACATTAAAAGATGTTTATTAATTATTAGGGAAATGGAAATTAAAACCACAATGGGATACTATCACAAATATCAGAATAACAATTAAAAAACAAAACAAAACAAAAAAAACACCAGATTCTTGCATGAATGCAGAGAAACTGGATTATTTATCATTGCTGTTGAGCCCATAAAATGTTACAATGACTCTAGAAAAATGACGTCTTTTTACAAAACTAAATATATACTTAGTTTTATATGTGACTTAGCAATTACATATTTCTGCATTTATTCCTAAGAAAAATTTATGTTCACACAAAAACCTGTAAAAAATATTCATAGTAGCTTTATTTATAATAACCCCAAACAATTAATGATAACCCAGTTGTCCTTCAACAGATGAATGGTTCAGCAAACTCTGTTACATTCGAACCCTGGAACATTACTAACCAATGATAAACAACGGAGTATTGATACACTCAACAACTAAGATAGACCTCAAAGGGAATTACACTGAGTGAAAAATGCCTATCTCAAAAAGTTACATATTGTGTGATATCATTTACATAGCATTCTGGAAATTACAAAATGATAGAGATGGAAAATAGGTTAATGGTTGCCAAAGGTTGCAGAGAGAGGCTATGGTAGTAAAAGTGCAGCACAGGAGATCCTGGTGATGGAACTTTTCTGTATCTTGATTGGTGCTGGTCATATGTGATACAACTGCATAGAATTAAACACACACACACACATACATGCACATATGTATGCAAATGAATATATAAAACTGGTGACATCTGAATAAACTTGATGGAGAGTATTAATGTCAATTTCTTTTTGTGATATAATTATGCAGTGTTATGTGTCATTGAGGTAAACTGAATGAAGGGCATAAAGGATCTAGCTCCTTTGCAGTTACCTGAAAATTTTATCTACATATAGATAGATGATAGATTAGATAGATAGATAGATAGATAGATAGATAGATAGATAGATAGATAGATAATGTGTCTATCTATAGATAATGTGTCTATCTATCTATAGATAATGTGCAAAGGAGCTAGATCCTTTATGCCCTTCATTCAGTTTGCCTCATAGATAGATATATAGTCATAGATAGATAGTCATCGAAGGACACATTCTATCTATCTATCTATCTATCTATCTATCTATCTTTCTATATACAATTTGTATATATCTGTTATATACATAACAAATATATACATAACAGAAATATACAAATTGTATATAGAAAGATAGATAGATAGATAGATAGATAGATATCACATAAATGTATTGTTTAAACTTTGGGAAAGAATGAAAAAATATTTTTAGATGATATATTTAGATATGTGGAAAAATAAAAGATTCAATCACCATTGAAATTTTTAAGAAAATCTGATACGGTGAATAATTTAATCATCAACTGCATATGTGTGTGTATACTTATATAAAATACAGATATAGATATATGTTCTTATCCTAAATGATGCATGAATTTGTATTATTTAGAATAAGAATGGAAAATGCTCTGTTCATAATAATAACAAACCATAAATACATAAAACTTATCCTAATAGGAAAAAGTAAAAGATCTACATGAAAAATAGAAGGTGAAATATAATTAATGTATATAAAATGAGTGAAATAAGTTCTGAATGAAATAAATACCTTAATATTACAAAAATGTTTAAAGGTTTCCAATTTACTACATATATATCTTGCTATTTTAATAAAATTTATCAATTTGGTGATGACATATGATTTAAAAACATGTTTAAAGATCAAATATTTGAGAATTATAGAAATATAATTTGAAAATACTGTTGTTTGGTGTGATGCATTTGCCTTATAAATAAAGTATTTTTAAAATATTTGCATCTGCCTAAAATATTCAGTAAACGAAATATGTGAACTTTACCTTGTAACAGAAAAAAATTGGGAGAGAGAAACATATATATATATATATATATACACACACACACACACACACACACACATACATATACACACACACATACACATATATGTGGGATATTTATATATAATACATACAGTTATTTTTTTAATTTAGTAATAAGATTAATTTATGTAATACATTATCATTATATTATCATATTCTCTCCCACTGAAATAAAGTTGGACTCCTACTCCCACTTTACATATATAAATTTCATTGGGTCAAATAAATGTATTTTAGATAGAAATGGTGAAATATAATTCTCTGAGAATTGAAGAAGCTGAATTAGTTAAAATGATAATGTATTTTATATATCTTGGAAAATTTATAAAATTGAAACTTATCTATACCAAAATCTGCTCTTATTGAGATATCTCATAGAATTAGTATATTTCTGAAACCTTAGCAAAATTAGGTCACTTCATTAAAATCCCAAACTCCTATGACAGAAAAGGAATTCTAGAACCAAGACTTCTTTTGATTTGTCAAACAAAAATTACGATTTTATCTAAAATGTTTCTTCTCTTGTCCCTGCTATTCCTTTCTCTGAAGTTTGGAACCTGTAAGGCCCAGGTCATTTAACTTTTTAAACATTTAATAGACTTTATTTTCTAGAAAAGTTTTAGATTCACAAAAAATTGAGCTGAAGGTACCCCTTGCTTTCACACAAGGCAAGACCATCTGCATTATCAACATCCCACACCAAAAGTGATATGTTTGTTATAACTGATGAATCTACGTTGATACATCATTATCTCCCAAGGTCCATACCTTACGTGAGGGTTCACTCTTGCTATTGTATATTCTATAGGTTTGGACAAATGTATCATGACATGTATTCACTGTTACAACCACTGATAATTTTTATGTCTCAGTACTTTGCTTTTTTCAGATTGTCCTATAGTTGGAGTCATAAAGTGCATAGCCTTTTCAAATTGGCTTCTTTTACTCAGTAATATGCATTTAAGGTTTCTCCATGGCTTTTCATGGTTGATAACTCATTTTTTTATCACTGCATAATATTGTATTATATAGAGGTACCATAGTTTATTCACTTATTGGAGGACATCCTAGTTGCCTCCAAATTTTGGCAATTATGAATAAATCTGCTACAAATATCTGTGTGTGGATTTTTGTGTGACCATACATTTTCAACTCACTTGGGTAAGTACCAAGGAGTGCAATTCCTTGGTAATTACCAAATATGTTTAGTTTTGTAAAAACTGCCGCACTGTCTTCCTACATATCTAATATTTTTATTCCCAACAGCAATGCATGAGAATTGGTCATTTTACTTTAAAGCAAGGCCTTTATAAATTGCCTTTGCAATATATTTTTCTTTCTTTTCTTTGAACTCACATAGTACTCTGTATACTTATTCTGACATCTATCATATTCTTTCTTGTTTTGCAAATATGAACTCGTAAAGACAGGGATGTAGATATGTCTCTAGCATCTTACAATACTTCATATAATACTTTGAAAATTGCAAGTTCCAGTATTTTTTAAATGAATAAAGAAGTTCAGATTTTGGTGTGTCGGACTAGCAAGTGGAACATTTTATTTTGTAAATCCATATGTATAATCTAAGTGTTTTATGCTAGGTTTGGGATGAAGCAATTCTCACTATTTCCACTAGTAATATTTTTTCAGTTGATCCTTAGCAGTTATTTTGTAAGTCAAATACACTGTTGATCATGTTAAAGAAAATTGCATTTGAAGTTATTGATTCTTTGCCCCAGCTTTTCAGCTGGAAGAAACAAAACTCTTGTTATAAGTTTTGAATTTTTAAAAAACAGTATCTAATGAGGTTAGAATATAACTTCGACATTTTGTTTTCAATCAGAGTGAAGGTGAGAGTCAAAAGGTCAAAAGATGATGTTATACAATAAATAATGCTATTATTTTGCATTGAAAACGGAATGTTGCTTACTTGTCTATAGACTCTTGCATATAAAAGTGTGTTTACTATGCCTAATTTTGGTACTTAAACTGTGTTGTCCTTACATGTTTTAGATTTTGGAATTTAAAAGGGTAATACAGCTAGTTTATATGTCAGAAGCTAATATAAATATGTGATTTTCATTCATATTCTGGCATCGCATTATTTGAATTTTTATATTTAACTCTTAAATCCACTTAGTATTTGGTGATAATTGTTGGGGTTTGGTATCTATTCTGTTTATTCAGTGATCTTCCTTCTGAGTTGGGAAGTTTTCTTTATCAAATATATCCAGGGCCCTCAACTCTCTCATATTCGGTATTTACAACAGCACTGTAAATTTATCATTAAAGAGAATATGTCAAAATGATTTTAGAAAGTAATGGTCTAGATCATGAGTAAACAGTGAATAATGTGCCCTATGGGGCACAATGCACATGGGATTCTTAACTGCTTTCATATTGTATATCACTACATAACAAAGGATTGATCTATTAAATTTGTACTAAATCAAGACAATTTTAATAAAAATTATTTAATTTATTGAAAAATGTCATGAAAGGCAAATTTCAAATGCCAAAAATCATGTTAAAATGGTCACGTTATGTCATTTAATTAACATATTTTGAAGTTAAATATTCCAGATTTTATGACTCATTAATTTTAAAAATGAACATAAAGTAAGTGTCTAATCTAAAATTATTTTGTTTTAGATGAACTCACAAATTCATCAGAAACCAGATTGTCTTTAGAAGACCTCTTCAGGAAAGATTTTGTGCTTCATGATCCAGAAGCTCGATGGATCAATGGTATGTGTATATCTTTTTATATGTTTTATTTATTTTGAATTCTGGTAATTAAATTAAATAATTGTACCTGTAGTTAACATTTTAATTGACATTATTCTTCAAATGTTACATATACCATTTAATTAGAAATTAATACTTTGGCTCATGTGGGAGAAAACCACTTCCTAAGATAGGTCATCAGTAGAAACATCCTCAAAACATTAGATCAATTTTTAAATATTGGCAGTTCCCTTATGATCACTATGAGTTACATGACTTTGGTACATCTCTAGCATTTCTCTGGATTATTCTCATTGGTATAAAGTTTAGATTTGAGAGCTATATGTAAATGCTTCAACTTTGGCAACCAAATTAGTTTTTTTTTTTTTTTTTTCTTTCTTGGTGGTTTTCTTTTTAATCCGAATCTCCTGGAAACTCTTGGAAAAGTTGAAAGGACTTAAAAATGACATGCCTTTTTCTGCTCTGGAAAAGAAACCACCTCAGCTTTCCTTAGATTTTTTTCTGATTTTATTATTTTGAAAGAATTTAAAAGCACCTTTAGATTTAAAAAGAAGCAACCAAAAATAGAACCGCCATGTGGCTCCATGGACTTTGGTTTGCTTAATGGAAGGTAATAGGGGGAGTGATTGGGTAATTTAATCAGAAGAAATGTGTTCATGAAAAGAAAGTCAGGCTTTTATTTCTTAAATATTCCAATTGGCCTGACCATACTAATCACTGTGGTCAGATAGTTGTTAATCCTTGTCTTTCAATTTATTTAGACATAATATCTTTGCTTGTTTTCAAGGCCTAGGGTAGAATACTTGATGATAAATAAAAGGAGCTTTCCTTTTTACCTAATAATGATTATCTCACTTATAGTCCATTCTTTTTTTCTCTAATATTCTAATTAAGTGCTTTTATGCCTGCAAATTAAATGGTAATTTATGGAAGCTATAAAAAGAAAGTAACTTAATTCGTGAAGGCAGGGGCCAAATCATACTGTTTACTTAGCACTGTTACAATTCCTGGAGATCAGCAGGCACTCAAGATTTGTTTTTTGAGTAGACGAATATAGGGATTTAATTGAAGTTCTGTGTTATTTTTTACATAAATTCAAATTTCAGTTCAAATAAGTTTGAAGATGAGTGTCTATCATGGTGATGGTATAGATAGAAAAAGCAAGATAGCAATTTTATTAATTTATTTTTATATTTTCATTTTGATTTGTTCATGAATTTGGGACTTTCCATATTCTTGCTTTTGCTCTATGATTATTTTAGATGTACATTATAATTATTTCAGATGAGTGGTGTGATTAAAGAAGGCCAGTAAAAGAGATGTATCATTACCAAACATTTTCCTAATACACAGATCTCTCACAAATCATTCTCCTAATGTACTATAGTAATTTTGTAATTCATCTTTTTACTTGCTAGCAAGTATTTTTCTATTGGAGATGACAAAATAAAAAAAAATGTGAGTTTCATTGCAAGAAGATTGAGGTAAGTAAACACTATACTCACTGCCTCCCATGACCACGTTAAAATACAACTAAATTGTAGAACAATCAACCTGGAGAACCATCTGAAGACTAGCTGAACATAATTTTTATAACTAAAGATATAAAAAAGAGGCCCTGTTGAGACTAGTGGGAGGGGCAGAGCCAAGAAATGAGCTGGCCCCATACCCACATGTAATGGTCGAGCATTGGGAGAGATATCTTGGCGGTGGAGGTCCCCCCCTGAGGAGTGAGGGGTTCCACTCCCATACTAGGATCCCTAGCCCAGAGTCCCAGTACTGGGAAGAGGAATCTCTACAACATCTGGCTGTGAAAATGACCAAGGATTCAGTCTGTCCAGGTGAGATGGAAGGCTGCTGGAAATACAGATGTCTTGTTAAAGGGCTTACATACAGACTCACTCACTTGCAGGCACTCATCGTGGGCTCCAGTGGAGGGACCACACCTTAGGAGGTGCCAAGGTCATACAGGGAAATACGGAATTGTGTGGCTTCAGAGTGAGGGCTAGGAGGTCAGCCTCTGTTATCCCTGTGTTGAGCACTTGTCCTGTGCAGCCTGCAGGTGGGCATCATCTTTTCTGTGTCGAGCCCTCCCCAACATGGCCAAATCTGAACCTGCACTGGCTTGGTGAACTCTGCTCACACCACCCTGGTGACTCCCTGGGACCTTGCCACATCCAACTCATGAAACACCACTGGAGGCATTTTCAGTGGTGGGTAACCTGCCCCAACCCATGCTGAAATCTTTCTTAGACAACTCTTGGGGATTTGGGGCCCAAGGCAGGCAGCGGCTAGCCACCATGTTCTCTGGGACTTTTGTGAGGGGCCCCAAGCTCAGCACTGCTACCAATCCTGAATCTGTATTAACATGGTGAACATTCACCTCACCTTGATAATAACCTGGGACCTTGTCCCACCCAACCCTGCCTCAGTACCAACTGAGGCTCTCTTAGTGGCTGAGCCTCACAGGCAACCAGCAGGTGCCTTCAGGCCTTGGGGTGGTCTGGGCCTTTCGCTAAGCTGCTCCAGGCCAAGTATTGATGGCAGTTGGCTTTGGTTCTTAGTGTGGCCACCTTCACATGTCTAGCACAGGCAGCAACCAACCACAGATAGCTTTGTAGTTCCTACTAGGTAGCCCCAGACTGGTCATAGGCAGTGGCTGACCTTGGCCTGCATGGGAGCCTTTCCCAAGAGGCACCAGAACCAACATACCTGGAGGCTAGCTTCAGACCACAACAGAACACTACCCAATTAGCCCCACAAGCAGCATACCAAAGGGTGGTCTCAACAGACATGGGAACCCATTGGGGCGAATTCTCTGTGGAGTCAACCACTCACAGTATCTCATATGCTGTGGATGTGGCCAATCCTCATGGTCATTCAGCCTGAAAGTCATTCCCACCCTCTGATCTGCCAAAGCAATCAAAGCTCAACTACAACAGGAGGGAACACACAACCCATACAAGGGACAATCCTGAAACACATGTCACAAATGATCAGGGAGACTGCATCACTGTGCCATGCAAGATATCTGCCACATAAAGCAATCCAGCAGAGACAGAGACGTAAGAGATCTACCTAATACATAGAAACAGAGAAAGGCAGCCACAGTGAGGACACAAAGAAATATATCCCAAAAGAAAAACAGGAGAAAATTCCAGAAAAATGACTAAATGAAATGGAGACAAGCAACCTACCAGAGACAGAATTCAAAATACTGATTTTAAGGATGCTCAGGTAACTCACTAGGAACTTTAACAAATAGATAGCAAACATAAAATAAGACATAGAAACCATCAAGAAAAGAACCAGTTAGAAACAAAGAATACAACAATTAAAATGAAAAAAAAATATGCTAGAAAAAATCAACATCAGATTTTATGAAGCAAAAGAATGAATCAGTGATTTGGAAGACAAGATAGCAGAAAACATGTAATCAGAACAACAAAAAGAAAAAAAAAAGAATTAAAAAATGAAGATTAAGGTACTTCTGAGACAACATCAAGAGTGACAACATTCACATCTTAGCAGTACCAGGAAGAGAAGAGACAAAGAAGAGATCAAGAACATATTTGAAGAAATAATGACTAAAAACTTGCCTAACCTGGTGAAGGAAATAGACATGCAAGATTAGGAAGTGCAGAGAATTCAAACAAGATGAACCTAAAGAGACTCACACTGAGACATGTCATAATTAAAATGGCGAAGGTTAAAGACAAAGCGAATTCTAAAAACAGCAAGAGAAAGATAACTAGTTGCTTACAAGGGAGCACCCATAAAACTATCAGCTGACTTATCAACAGAAACTTTGGAGTCCAGAAGGGAGTATTCAAAGAGATGAAAATCGAGGACCTATGATTAAGACTACTCTATCCAGTAAGGCTACTTAAAATTGAAGGAGAAATAAAGAGCTTCCCAGAAAAGCAAAAGCTAAAGGAATTCATCACCACCAAAACAGTATTATAAGAAATGTTAAAGGGACTTCTTTAAGAAGAAGAAGAGGAAAAATAAAGAACATAAATATGAATAATAAAATGACAATAACTATGCACCTATCAATAATCACTTTAAATTTAAAGAGATCAGTTGCTCCAATCAAAAACCAGGGTAGCTGAATGAATAGAAAAACAAGACCCATATATATGCTGTCTACAAGAGACCTACTTCAGGTTGAAAGACACACGTAGACTGAAAATAAAGAGAAGGAAAAAATATATTTCATACAAATGGAAAAAAAGTTGGAGTAGCAATACTTATATCAGACAAAATAGACTTTAAACAAAGGCTATAAGAGGCAAAGAAGGACGTTATATAATGATAAAGAAATCAAGTCAACAAGAGGATATAACTCTAGTAAAGATCTATCTATTCAACATAGACACACCTAAATATATAAAGCAAATATTGACTGATAAAAAGGAGAGATTGGTGGTAATACATCATAGTAGGGAGCTTTAACACTCCATTGACATAAATGCACAGACCTTTCAAACAGATTAAGTCTGCTGTTTAGCAGACTTAAATGCCACATTAGACTAGATTGATTTGATATTTTTAGAGCATGCCATTTAAAACAAAAATATATACATTCTTCTCAAGTGCACATTGATTATTTTCCAAGATGGGCCACATCTTAGGCCACAAAACAAATCTCAATAAATTTTAAAAGGTTAAAATCATATCAAGTGTCTTCTCTGATACCATGGTATGACTTAAATGTAAAACCCGGAACTGTAAAACTCCTAAAAGAAAGCATGGGCAGTAAACTCTCTGACATTGCTTTTAGTAATATATTTTTTCTGATGCATCTCCTTAGGCAAGGGGAACAAAAGAAAAAATAAGCAAATGGGATTACTTCAAACTAAAACTTTCTGCACAGTGAACAAAATCATCAACAAAAGAAAAAAAAAAAACAATTGAATGGGAGAAAAATAGACCTGCTTTATCAGCTAGCAATTCTACTTTGGGATATTTATAGGAATGAATCCAAAACTACAAAT